CATACTGCCCAATTTGATGCTCGTGTGCTAAACGCTTTCCTTATTTTTCAAACAAATGACAAAGCATAACTTCATATCATGCTGAACATTCCTCATTTTAGGGAAGAAAGTGCTTCTTGAAAGAGTTGTCATAAAATATAACTTTATTATTTTAATATTAAAACTTTATTCTCATAATATCAAGAATTTATTCTCTAAATAAAATAAAAAAAAACTCTCTAGCCCTAATACTCCATTGTAATTTAGTGATTTTGTTGTTCTTTGTAATAATAAATTAAGGCATGCAGGAAAAGAGAAAAAGAAAGAAGATTTCCCATTAAGAAAAATGAATCCCTAATGTTTGCCTAGGCATTGAATCTCATTTAAAACCATTATGATCCAAGCAGAACTGTGCCCTTTTTGCTGGTTAATATTTTGTGTCTAACCTCTCAGAGATCTTCACAGATTCAAATAGCACTGATTATCTGACGTCTGTTTCTCTGTTTGCCATTAAACCGAGCTAATCAAACCTCATCATCACCATTATGTTGTTTGTCAGCAGGAACCCTGGTGAGCGAATGCAGAGCAATGAAAGGAGCCTGGATTAGACTCTTATGAGTGAGAGTTGTCTTATTATTATAGCAAATGAATCTGTGCCTCATTTAGATTTACACTGCTTTGGAAAAATACACATTTTTCCCTTTAGAGTTTTTTTCCTGTTTTTGTTTTTTAGTCACTCTAACATTTTCAGGTCATCAAATTTATTTTGATATCAGAAAAGGCTGTTTTATACACCACAAATATTTAACTAAGTTAGAGTGAATACCAGTTTTAACATTGTTTGATTGGGGTTTATTTTCTTCACCTGATCAGCAATGAACACTGCAGATTTTACAAGGTACTGAGAACATTAGCTGGGAGTTGTCTTTTACCGTTGAAGAACTTGATGATGTCTGTGAAGTCCATGTTGTTCTCCAGGATGATGTCCCTGTACACCTCCACCAGAGCCAGCGCAATAAAGAGAACAAAGTGACCTGATGAGGCGTACTTTGCGGCCCAAATAGTTTCCCAGACAGCAAACACGTCGTCATAAACCAGCTCTGGACAGAGATCACACAGAGAGACAGAGGTTTGGTATTTATGAGTTTTTACAAATAATCTGTAAATTATAATCTGTTTTTTTTTTTTTTTTTTTTTTTACTTTTGGACACCTTAAACTCTTGAATCTCATTACATAGATTCTAACTTACATTAACTCGTTTTTAACAAAAAGAAAGTTTTTGATTTTATTTCAGCGTATACATTTTTGAAGATAAAATTTTTTTATTTACATTTTTTCTTCAATAATTCTTCTTCTTCTTCTTCTTCTTCTTCTTCTTCTTCTTCTTCTTATTATTATTATTATTATTATATATTTTTTGAGATTTTACTTACATAATGTCCCAGCTGTTTAAAAAAAACCCAGTCTGTTTTTGCAGACCAGGTTTTACTATCTGCATTCCCTTCAAATTAAATTTCAAAGATCATATTCTCTTGACTTCAAGCCAAATAATAACAATAACGCTCTTGATGCACTCATTAACCAGTACAAATGTGGCTTATCTCCATGGAAACCAATAGAAATGTGACTCTTTATTCTGATGTGTAAAATGCTGTTTGACAATAATTATTATTTTCTTTTTAAACTCAGCATATTTGAAAACAGAACCTATTTTATAAATGTAAATTATAAACTCTGTTAAAAAAGACATTACATTTAAATGATAAGATTGGAAAATGTAAAATCTGTAAAAAGGAAATTTGAGGAGAAAAAAAGTTAAAATACGGAGAAAAAAAAATAACTCAGAGAAAACAGGAAATTTATTCTCAAAACCTTTTTTTTAATGAAAAACATTTTTTCAAAGTTTCATACCCACATTTTTACACGTACGTTTTTTAAACGTACGTGTAAAAATGTGTTTTTTTTTTCCATTTCCAATCACAAAATGTGTTCTTTGCTTGCAACAATAATGTAACAAAATTCCCTCTCTCATTTTTCCCTCTACCCATTTTGTTTTAATATTTAACTGCATTTGCCTAGCTGAAACAGTCAAGAAAAAAAAAACGAAATCTGAATCCTCAGCCTGCTTTAATCCCTGCTTGATGCTTAACCAAAAGCCAAACTTCAAGGGTAGTGAATCTTGTCTCCTTATAATTGGCTTCGACTCTTTTAACAGCCTACACCATTTCATCACCTCGTTTGAAGTCAAGGAGAAACCAGCGGTAGCAGAAGTAGAAGTGGGTGTAGTCACCGTTCTGATGCATGAGCTCAAACAGCTCAGCATCCAGGATCTGAAGAAAGCAGATAAAATCAGTGATGATTGGATTCATTGGCTACTACCAGACTCTATTTTAAAACTCCATCACCTGGATTAGAGAGCGCATGTTTGCAAAGTGGGTATCCATAGCTCCTCCGTGTGGAAAGTTTTGATTCATTCTCTTCATAAGTTTACTAAAACAGCTGAAAGCCTTGGCCTCTGGGAGGAAAAGATGGAGTAGACAAGTGAGTGTGTAGAGTCTCCTCTGCAGCTCATTCAAAATCTGTAAAAATACATCACACAAGCAGAAACTGGGGGAGGGTGTTGACTCACCATCATCGAGAATGACTAAAAGAGGAGCCAGCAGGTCACACATTCCCTGAACATATCCGATGTCAAGGTGCCTCCAGATGTAGCTGTTAATATGCAACAAAGAGAGCTGACCTTAACCCCATGTGGCTTTTTCCCACACTGACTCATACCCTTCCTGCAGATTTAGAGGCATTTCTCAGAATATCATTCTGACACTGGAGACAAGCCATTCAAAATGATATCCATCATTTAGCAAGCCAGTGACATTTATAGAAGCAAATAACTGCTGGGATTATAAAACTTTAGACTAGCAGAATCTTAAGGGATGCAAAAGGAAGCAAACTTGGAAAGTATACATTTTTTCACCTTGCAAAATGAAATTTTTTTTTTAATCTTCTTACCCAAACCCACCACCACACAAATACACACAAGACAATGAAGAGTAGCTCTGGAACGTTATGGGCTTACAGGTCCCTGATGAGTCTCTGTGTCCAACACACCTTCATTGGCTCTTTTAGCAGAAAAGACTTTTATGAATCCCCCATAATATGTATAAAAACAGAAAGACTCTTAAAATATAACTAATATTTGCTACTATTTACTAAAAATAAAATAAGCTATAGAAAAACTGCAAACTCCTCTGTTTACTTATGTTGACCCAATCATGGGCGTAATTTTGTTGGGGGGGGTTAATAATGTCCACAAACAACGTTACACAGACATCAGCTCGAACTGAAGCCTGCTTCCCTGAGTTTAGACCACCCACAAACTTCTGATTGGCCCATCGTCTTTTCTTGTGTGATTGGCTGTCACCGCTGTCACTCCTGACAAGCTCACTTTACAAACATCTGATGCGCCACTGAATCTGGTCTTTGATTGGATGGTCAAACACGCTGAAGTTAGTGATATTGAAAAAATATTTACGTCCCTCACACTTCTGAAATCAAAATATCGTCCATGGACCCTATACAACTCTACCCTGGGTAGAGTGCTATATTTACCATCTCAAAAACGGTCATGTTAGAAAATTCAAAGGGTATGATCTAGGGCTGAAACAATGAATTGGACTAATTGTGATTAATCAATCATCAACTAATTTAGTATTTGATTAATCGTCAACTGGAGTAGCGACCCACTTAGATATGTAATTATATATATATATATATATAAACATTTTGTATATAAAATAAAAATAAGGCAAAAAAAATTTTTTTTTTTTATTTAATGTAAAATTGTTTTCAGTCTTCTAAAAACGATTTGTTTTTGTCAGTCACTAATATTAAATAATTTGTTTCACATAAGGGTGTGAAAGCGTTGCTGTCATCATATGGTAAATGGTGTCCCTGCAGGGGTCAGTGTTTTACCTGCACATGACGTTGCGCAGCTTCTCCAAGTTGGCTGGAGTGAAATACCAGTAATTCCTGTCACACCGTTGGACGTCTTTTTCAATACGGTGCAGATTTAGTGTGTATAGATCCAAAAGCTCTTGCTGAAACAAATTTGATTATGACAATAAATACAATTCACTGATCACTGAGTTAATTTATATAAAATAAATTAATGGTTAGAAAATAATTTCAAGCTGGAGGTTTCTTAAAATCCCCTTCCTAAGGTTGCCTTATCCAACTCTGAGAAATAAATGGCAGAAATAAATCTAGCATCTTTAAAAAAAAGGTGTGCATACAGAGTAAGGGCTCCCAGTTGACTCCTGAGGGGTTACTTCATTCTTTGTGTTTTCGTCCGCTGGAAGAGAGTCGAAAGGAGGGTAAAGGCTCTCCATCTCCGGCTCTGACAGCAGGGACTCCGTTCCTTCGGGACTGAGCTTTTCCACCTCCTGCCTGAGCTCCACATGTGCTGCTGAATCCTCAGAGAAGGAGGAAGTCTCACAGTGCCCCCTCCTGCTCCAGGGTGCCATGGAAACCTTGGTTTTAGGGATCTCCTCCATCTCTATGGCTGACGGAGACTCATCAGACTCAGTCAAAGCCTGGGTCTCGTCTCTCCGAGATGAACTATAAGCTCCTCCTGGTGTCGAGGCGCCCAGAATCTGTTCCTCTTCACATTCTTTAAGGCTTTTTGAATGTTCCTTATCTTGTGAAAACGGGACAGTTGAATTTAATTTTTCAGTTTCTTTAATGTGTCTAACATTTCTCTCTTCACGTTTAGGCACTTCTACACTCTTCATCGCCTCATGATCTCCTCGAGGACTTTCTTTAACGCTCATTTTTAGGCCTCTATCTTCAAAGCTTGATTCTTCTTTTTTCACTTTATCAGACTTTTTGTTTTCCCTTGTACCAGGATGCAAAGTAGTTTCTCCTTTATCTATGCTGTCAAATGTTTTCCCCTCCTCCCCCTTGCCCTTCTCTTCTCTTGCCACCTGACTTTCAGTTGTCAGCCCTTCACCCTCTCCCCCTGCAGGCTTGGTTGAGATCTGTGGCATCAGAGGCGCAGCTGTGGATCTCTGGGAAGCATCAGGTGCGGAGCTGTCCTCTGTGCTGAAGGAGCCATCTGACAGCCCAGAGGTGATGGAGAAGTTTCGTGAGGAAGGATGTCCTGAGTCTGGCGAGCTTGACTCGTTTTGCACAGCTTCGTTGGGCATCTTCGGCACTTGTTTGGTCGCATCGGTCTTGGACTCTGACTCGGGCTGTTCCACCTCCTCTACAGATTCAAAGACCTGAAAGAACAAGCCAAAAGGAAACAGACTACTCCAGGGGAAGGGCTGAGAGGATGTGGAGGACTAGCAGGAAGAAGAATGTAAAACATTGGTTTAGATTGTCCAGATTAAATCAATACTTTAAGATTAGCAGTTGTAAGAAAATTATTTTTTTTTAAAAGGACTTTCTTGTGATCTTTTAAATTTTTGTTCTTGATAAAAAAAAAAAAAAATTTTTTTAGGGTTTACAAAGCACTTAGCAAGTTTTTCTTTAGTCTTTAGTTCCACTTATACTTTTTTTTCAACTTTTTATAGTCAATTATAAAATTATAATACTTAAAAAAGAAGGAAGTCTAACAAAAGAGAAGAAATTTCAACAACATATTAACATAATCTTAAAGTCATGTATCCAGAAAAACGAATAAAATACTTATATCGGTGACAAGGCTCAGAACCATTCATTATCCTCCAGATGATAAATGTTTCAGGCCACAAATTTAGATAATGGCATTTTGACCTTGAATTGTTGGTGAAATATTATTTAATGAAAATGGGGGGTGAGCTACACTGCATTTATGTAGTCTGTCTGACCTCTTAAAAGCAAATAGAAAGTGGCTAGTGGCACAAAACCAATAGTTTCCAGCTTAATAAGTAAAAAATGGTCAGAAATAATTTTTTCCATAAGCGCTCTATTGACTAATTGCACTGAAGACAACACTCTTTAGAGTGGGCATTGCAGCCAATCTAGAACCAAAGGAAGCAAAGGAATTGAAAAGCTTTTTAAAAGGGAAAGGGAAGGAAGGGAAAAGACTTGCCTTCATTTAGGCTATGAGACAAGGAGAGAGCAAGACTTCTAGCAAAAAACAAGAAGGCTGAACTGTGTGCAGAAATACTCTCAATACACTTTTTCTACCATCTATTATTTTATATAAAACAAATGTTTCTCCTATATGTATAACATAGCAGTTATAGCATTTAGTTTAGTATATATATATTTAAAAGGGGTTGCTCATCTGGACAGGTGATATAAAAAACGTACTGATATTTATACTGGTAAATGTCGAGTAAATTAAAATTGACCACTTTCAATAAAACGAAAAAACAACAAACAAATATACTATATCCTTTTAAGAAATGATACACAGGGTTAGAAATAATGTTGGAGGCCCTAAGACAATGTTAAAAATGTATATTTAGGGAAATGTGTGTCAATCCTTAGCAGTATCTCCATTGCAATATGCAACAAAAATAATGCAATGTCTGTTATGCTGCATTTGAAATTATTGGCAGCCATTTAGAAATCCCATATTTAGGATAAAGATCTACTTTATCTTGGTAATGTAAGCAGAGAAAGACTGCTGTTTTACATCTTACATTAACATCAGCTGGGCAAAACCTAAAAAACTGCAATTGGTGCATAATTCCTTTAAATATAAATTCAATTCAATTACAATTCATTCAAAACATGTCATCTTAAGGCATTTTATAGAGACAATATAACCAGATCATGTAGTCAGATTGGTTCAAAGTTTTCTATATAAGGAAAACCAGCTGATTGCATCGACTTATTAATCTCTACAGCAATCCCTCAGACCAAGCATGCATGTAGCGATGGTGGAGAGAAAAACTCCCTTTTATCAGGAAGAAACCTACAGCAGAACCAGGCTCAGTTTGAGTGACCATCTGCTGAGGCTGACTGGGTTCAAGTAAATAGGAGCAGAACAGAAGCATTATATTCACAAACACAACTTCTGGTTACTTCATTACTTAGCCGAGAATAGCTGATCTAAAATAGAAAAAAAATTACTTAAGGATTAAAAGATGAAGAACATTTTAAAAGAGCACAAACTCTTATCCAATACTCTTTTCTATCAGAAGCTATTTTTAAAACCTTTATACAGCAAACAAGCACTTTGTTGATTTTTTTTTATTGTATTTAGAGGAGATTACAGAGTAAGTGTTTATACCTGTGTGCTGCTGCTGGAATCACTCTGGAGCCGAGCCAAACTTTCCCTGTCAGAGCTGTGAGAGGAATGAGACTGCGGAAAAAAAGTCCGGAGAAAATTTGAAGTGTTAATCCTGTTCTATGTTAATTTTGCAAGAATAACCCAAAAAAAAAAAACATGGCATAAACCCATAACAACAACACACATCCCCTTTCTTTTTTTTTTTTAAATGTTATTATTGGCATGATCTGGACTTTACCCCATACTAAAATCATTTAACTCTGTGTATAAATTACACACCACAGATTCTACCATGGCAATACATTTATTAAATAAAATGAAATGTATTAACTAAGCAAAACGTCTTAGTCTGTCTTAAAATTGCTCAAAGCCCTGGCAGAGGGTATTTTTGTTTTATTTTACAATTTTTTTTTTTCTATTACAAACCTAGATTTTAAAGCTGTTTTGATCTTAGAATGTATTCAAATAAGTTGAAGAATTAAAAAAAAAAATTGTATTTTGTTTTTTCGTATGTACAAAATGCATCAAATCAGGGGCTGTTTAAGTTTAAAACCATATCATTATAATATGGTGAATTATTTTTTTTTTCACAGAAATAAAAAATATGTGAAGCTATACAATTTATTCCTTCACAAGAAAGTAGAATAGTATATTTTTTTGTAATCAGTTGTCTTCCTCTTTTAACATACCGGTACATCAAAAATACATTATAAAGAGTAACATATTCTTTTCAATAAACTAAAATATTTATGAGCCCTTAAATCTAAAGGGGTTTTATATATATTTTTTGGGCCTATAAAAAAAGGGAAACCCCAGTAATGTGTCATAAGGTAACATGCCTATGAAATAACTGACGCAATTGATATAAATCCCTTTTTATCCTGACAGAGAACTGATATTAGATTGAACATCATGGAATGTTTTTCTGCGCAGTTCACAATAAAAAAACAGTTTCAATCTTTCGCTGAGTATTTTCATAATACGTGTAAAGTAAATGTCATAAATATTTCACAAATATGCACGAGTAATGCTCAAGTACACTATCTTTTCAGATTAGCTTTATTAAGCATTTATTTTGGTTGTCATCTCTATCCACATGACTCTCAAGATTAATCAGAACGGATTATGATCTCTGATCATAACAATTTTAGCTAGGAGCAACCTCCTGCTGGAAAACAATATTTACTGGAGTCATAAAACCACAGCCCGCAGCAAAACTATGAGTAGATTATAGAAAATGACCATATCAATATAAATATATGTTTTCATAGTGGTAAAGGGCATCACTCTGGGGTTATAACTTCATGCTTGTTTTTTATTAGACTTCCTACACATTAGATCTATTCTATTCCTCATTAGATCAGGTATAGTAATGCAAACCAAAGGTAAGAAATGGTAAACAAACATAGTGAGCAGAGGTAATTTCACATGTTGATTTGCATTATTTCATATGACTTTTGTGGAACTGATATTAATGAGCTAATGTTGGTATTAAATATTATTCCCGGAACTTTTTATTTGTGATTGAGATGTAGGATAGTGCAGCTTATTCCTGTATCCTGGGAAAATTCCTCCCGGGGGACACTAATAAAGATACTTTGCCCACAGCCACTTGTCATAGCTGTAAATAAATGTTATTAGATGTTTTGCAATGGTTTTACCTCATTGCTCACGGTGGAATCATGATGGGTCATCCTCTGACTGGAGCTGTCCACGCTCGCAACAGAGGAGCACTTTGCCAAAGCTGCAGCATGCTGCTCCTTTTCTCGCTCGCGGACAACCTCCTCACATGCCAACCACTCGCTCATGGTCTGCTGGTAGGAAGCCCGCACTTGTTCATCCACCTACGTTCAAAAAGTGAGTAATCAAAAGTCAGTCATAGAGGTGCAAAACACCTCAGAAGGTATGTTGTACATGAGGAGCCACTAACCTCCCTCCTGTTATCTTCTGACATCCCAAACTGGTAATGACCCAACAGGAAAGGCCATACCTCTTTACGCAGTGAGGGGTCCACGCCGCCAAAGTACACCAAACGGAGCAGCTCCTGCTCTTTGTAAGTCTAACGAAAAGCAGCACAAGCCTTTGATCAGTCCAGCGCATGCCTATTTTGTTAATAAACCCCCTTACCTCCTTTATAAATAATGAAAAGGATCTGCCACACACTTCATAATGTGCCAAAACAACACAGAAGCCTCAGTAATGATCAAAGCTCATATTCAATTATTCATGGATAAAGCAACGTTTTAATGTTTTGAAATGAGCCAGGCAACATTGCTAAAGCCTAATAAATTTGATTAATGCAATCATAAACTTCAGATGTGGTGTTTAGGTCTAATTCACAACACATTTAGTCAGGTTTCATGAGACCAGCACTGCAAGCTGCATGATTAGCAGAATCATTCTGAGCCGTGTTTGGACAGGTGGCAGAGAGAATGAAAGGAGGTTATATGTGTACATGTGTGAGCATGTGGACTGCCTTCTGTCTGCAGTTAAAGTGAAGCATGTGTCATGGAGCTCACAGTGCAGTCTTTAAGGAACGTCTGCCAAACGTCTGTGGTGAGCCCCCCAGTGGCATCGCAAGGCACGTCGGTCGCAACGATGGTGTGGTTGACAAGGGCGGAAAGGTGCGTACGGACAGTGGAAAGGTGGCGGCAGTACGCCAGCCCTGACAGAAGGGAAAACTAATCATTTAATGGAACAGCAATATATTACAGTGAATATGAACTGATGAAAATAAATATGGTAATTCATACATCCATAAAACGCCCTGGAGATAATCTGATATTTCATGTTGTCACACAGCAGCTTCAGAGGAGTCCTGTAGAAAGACAAAGTGTGTGAGGATCCAAGAAAAGTATTCATACCACTGGATAGTTTTTGTATTTAGTCATATGACAACAGGAGAGATCAATATGTTGAAAGGGTATTTTATGACTTTTCTATAGAAAAATAAATTTTGATTTTTTTTTTTTCATTTCAGAAGGAAAAATAAAAAAAACAAAAAAATTTTAAATCAGTCCCCCCCCCCCCCCCCCCCCC